TTTTTTTAAATAGTTTTTAAAGTTTATTTTTATTTATTTTGAGAGACAGCAAGGGGGGAGGGGCTGAGACAGGGAGAGAGAGAGAATCCCAAGCAGGCTGTGCACTGCCAGCATAGAGCCTGACACGGTACTCGATCTCACCAGCCATGAGATCATGACATGAGCCGAACTCTAGAGTTGGGTGTTTAACCGACTGAGCCACCCAGGGGTCCCTCTTTGGACCTGTCTTATAAGTCAAGGAGTTACTTCCATAGCGCCAGAAATGGGTAAAGTAAGCTAAGAAAAGATATCATATGAAGGTGAATATTAGGTAACCATTCAAAACAGCAAATTGTAAAGTCCCATCCACTGCCTCCTCTTTGCAAAAAGTAGATTATCAGAAGGTATGACAGTAACCTGTGGATGTTTAGGGACTGTCCCTGGGAATGGTTGTTTATTTAAAGATGGTAGGCCTTTCTGCAGTGCCCTACAAAACCCCAGTGAAAGGCTGAGGAATGCTAGGCATGCATTTTTCTCTTTCCTCGGCACACGCCCCACACCTACACTGATCCTGGTGGAACCCAGTCGTGTCCTGACAGTGAGGGCGAATGGAAGTAGAAGGGAGTTTGGGTGACATTTTCTTTTTTTCCTTGACATTTCCCAGCTGAGCTTTATGAAACAGCAAAAAACTTGTTTGTGTTTTTCCAAAGCCAGACAGTCACTCTGAAAATCTTACAGAAAGCAAGGATTGGGAGCAAAGAGAGAAGACAGATATTTGTGGGAGAAAGTGACCAGCCCAGCTGTACATGGAGTGGGGAGGGGAAGGGGAAGGTATTAGCTTGGTAGGGACACCATAGCAAAGTACCACAGACTTTTGGGGCTTCAGCAGCAGGAATTTATTTTCTCATAATTCCAGAGGCTGGCAGCCTGACATCAGAGTGTCACCAGGCTTGGTTTCTTCTGAGGCCTCTCTCCTTGGCTTGTAGATGGCCATCTTTACTTGGCATCTTCCCTCTGTGTATGTCTGTGTCCTAAACTCCTCTTCTTCTTATTTTTTTTTTTAAAGTTTATTTATTTATTTATTTTGAGAGAGAGATTGAGAGAGAGAGCACAAGAGTACAGGTTGGGGAAGGGCAGGGAGAGGGAGAGAGAGAGAATCCCAAGCAGACTCCCTACCACCAGCACAGAGCCCGATGTGGGGCTCCAACCTGTGAACCATGAGATCGTGACCTGAGCCAAAACCAAGAGTCAGATGCTCAACTGACCGAGCCACCCAGGCACCCCCTAAACTCCTCTTCTTATAAGGACACCCATCATACTGGATGAGGGCGCACCCATATGAACTTATTTTACCTTACTCACCTCTTTAAGGGCCTCATCTCCAAATACAATCCCATTCTGAGGTACTGGGGGTTAAGACTTCAACATATGAACTTTGGGAGGACATAATTCAGCCCCTAACACGGAGAGAGGAAGATCCTACAAGTTGTGGAAGTTGTGCCTGGGCAAGCCGGTCTGAAACCTCCCTCCCTTCTCCCCTGCCCTATTCCCTCCCTCACCTGCTGTCCCAAACCAGCAGTAGACAGGTTGCTGCCTAGAATCCTGACAAAGGAGCACACTGCCCTGCTCAATGAGGCCTGCTCCAGACCTCTCCGAAATGGCAGAAAATCACATTGCTTTCTCCCTGGTAGATCCATGGATATGCAGACATTATTTTACCTGCCAAGAAGACAAACTGAAGAAATATGTTATTTAAAAATTTTTATTTATTTTGAGAAAGACAGCATGGAGGGGCAGTAGTTAGAGAAGGAGAGAGAGAATCCCAAGCAGGCTCCACGCTGCCAGCACAGAACCAGACGTGGGACTCGAACACATGAAGCTGTGAGATCATGACCTGAGCTGAAACCAAGAGTCAGGTGCTTGGGGCGCCTGGGTGGCTCAGTCGGTGGAGCATCCTACTTCGGCTCAGGTCATGATCTCACGGTTTGTGAGTTCGAGCCCTGCGTCGGGCTCTGTGCTGACAGCTCAGAGCCTGGACCCTGCTTAGGATTCTGTGTCTCCTCCTCTCTCTGCCCCTCCCCTGCTCATGCTCTGTCTCTCTGTGTCTCAATAATAAATAAAAAAACATTTTAAAAAATTTAAAAAAAAAGTCAGGTGCTTAACCGACTGAACCACCCAGGTGTCCCAAGAAATCTGTTTTAAAAGAATAAAAATGGAGTTTGTACACGAGAGGGAGATGATATTAACCCAGCAGTGCCATTTTGAACCAGCAGGTTATGAAACACTTCCAGAAGCATGTTTACTCCAGCAGGAATGCTGCTCTTTACCTTGCAGACATCTCTCCTAGTAACTGTAAGCTTTATGCTAAATGGTAACATATCTGCCCTTAAACACCAGCTGCCCTGGACAGCTTCCTGTCTCGCCCTTTCCTTATGTACCCGGATCCTGCCCTGACTCTGTCTGAGTGGCATAACCTTCACAAAACCATCCTGGGACTTCACCTCTTGCCCGCTCAGCTGTGTAACCCTCATTTATTTATGTTGTTGCTGTTGCTGCTGCTAATCGGAATACACAGTGGCCTCTGTCACTGTGTTTGGGGCTGGTTGGCCCAGTTAGTGCCCATGGGAGGGGAGAGAACCAGCTTCAGGATGGCCCTCCTTCCTTCTCACCAGCTCCCACCAGCCTTTGACCATCATTTATGGGAACTAGGATGAAGATAGCTTTGTTCATCGTGCTCCGAAGCACATCCCCTTGAATAACCACTCTGCCCTTTGCTCCCAGATGTCCGTCAAGGGTACTTCATCTTCTTTCCTCATTTGCAGCAGCTCAGAGGATGGGGAACAACTTTCCTTTCCATAGTTAGGATTATAAAACCCTGACATGTTTCCATCTGCTTCCCCACTAAATTTATATTAAATATGTTTTTACACACTGTTCACTTCTCCTTTCCCTGAGCACGGGTCCCTCGTGGCTCCGTTAAGGTGATTCCTGCAGCGCCTCCCTCTGTCATCCGTGGACCTTGTGGCCAGGATTGTGTATATGAGGCAGGACAGAGATGCACAGACTTCATATTGCTGCCTCACAGGGGTCAGAGCCCATCTTAGGTTTATCCACTTGTCTCTGTGGAACCCACTAGTCAAAATATCCCAGACCCAGAAGGCTTATGATTTCTTCTGGTCTTAGCCCAGCTGCTGCTAACCATAGCATGTCCTTGAGCACGTCACTCAGGCCCTGTGGGCGTCTCACTCTCACCTGTGGAATGAGGGGAAGATAGGAGCTGAGCTGTCTGGTTCTTTTGGCTCTGAATGTATGGGATTCAGTTACACATAAAACAATTCAATATAGGAAGCTGAATCAGGCCGACCTGATTGCTGGAATTTTAGAGCCCGGTGCAGTTGTAAATAAAGAAGGATTAAGAGACCAGTGATGTAACAGCCCCCGAATCTTCTGGACCAGCTCCTTTGAACACAGCTGGGGACTTGCTCACCTCCTCTGAGCTGAGTCAGTGGTGGCTAAGGGTGAGTGGCCAGGGCCCTGGCTGGTGTGATGGGCTGCTGTCCTCGTGGGCACGTGTGCCAGGGTCCAAGACCCCCTACTGCTTTTGGGTCACTGTAGGAGATGTGGTCTCACGCCCCTTTCCAGGCCCTTTGGGCGGGTGAAGAAGACTGAGAGCCTGGGGCCTGCCATAGTTCTCAGGGGGAAGGAAAGGAGCCGCAGTCCTGGAACATAGTTATTTCTTCGTCTGGGAAGGATGTGTCTAGCAAGAAAGGGGCACATTTGAGCAACAACAACAGCCAGCATTTATGGGCCTCCTCTCTCGTACCTTTTAGCACGCCCCTCGAAGCATGTCTCTTCGAAAGTGTTGTTCCCCATAATGACACAATCAGGAGTAGATTATGATCCCTGTGTATTCAGATGAGGGACAAGGGTCCAGAGGAACTAAGGGACTTGCCCAAGAGCACTCAGTAAGGGGGCGCCAGGATGCAAACCCGGACCCCCCCTTTCAACCCCCAATTCTTCAACAGCTGCCAGGGAGGGACACATTCTCTTTGCAAACAGAGCAGTGAGGCACATGGGAACTGTCCAGTTGTGGGTTCCATGTAACTCTTTGCGAGGTTCCCACAGCCACCTGCAGTGCCCTGAAGATTGTGGTTTGTTTTTATTCTCCCTCAATTAAAAAAATTGGGGTAAAATAAACATAACATGCAATGTACTATTTTCACCATTTTTAAGTGCACAATTCAGTGGTATTAAGTACGTTCACAGTGTTGTTGTAGCCATCACCACTATCTATTTCTGGAGCTTTTTCATCACCTGGAGGCTTTGACCATCCCTTTCTTTGATGTCTGTCCTTGCATCATCACTGGGCTTCCCTTAAAGTAATCCGTGATGATGCCCTTTGACTGTCCTGTGTGCCCACTCTTACCCTTGTCTGGTAGTCAGGAGAGGCCAACTTAGAAGTAGTTTTTCAACAGTGGTTTTATAATTTTACTAGAGGATCATCTTTGAAGCAGTAAGAACGAGGGTTCTGCTATCTGGGGCCAGGAGGTAGGCGGCCATTCCTCAGCCTGACAGCTCGTCAGGAGGGATTCCAAGGGGCCTCTTGGGGACCCGCCGCAGAAGGAGCAGTGCAGGCGTGTTTTATCTTTGCAGGAATTCTGCTGACAGATGAGCTGAGAGTCCCTCACAAGGGCCCTGGAAAGAGAGCTGCTTTATACCCTCCGTAGGGATTATTTAGCATTTGTGGCTTCAAAGAAGTAATTTCTGAGACTCAGCTGTGGGTTTTATGTTTCTCTTGATCGGTTTCAACATCATTCTCTGTATCATGTTGTCATCAGTCACTTGTTCTGGCCCCATACAGAATGTACCCATAACAACAGCTCATTCTTTGTATTCAGACTATTTCCATATCCCTGTAGATGGGTGGTCTTAATGGCCCTTGGCTGGACTATGGTAGTACAAACTCTGTTACATGAAAAGTCTTGTATTACATTCCCAGCCCATGATAAGTTTTCATCTCTTTGAAAAGATGAGAAGTTTTTTAAACATTTTTGATTTCAGGGGTGACTGTGTTTGGAGGCAGTATTTGCCTGTTTGGGGTTAAGTGTGTTTCCCAAGGGACTTGGAAGAAGGACTGGGCTTTCTTCAGGGGGAGAGGGTCAAAGGAAGTTGTTCCCGTGGTAGGTGACTGTTTCAGGCCCAGGATGGCCCTGGTGTTCCTTGTGGTCCTCCTCCTTGCAGTAGCCTGGAATTCTATCATTAACGCCTCAGCTACCCAGATAGCCCTGGGTATAGATGAAAGAGCAGTGGAGGAAGGATGGAAAGAGGGGCTTCATTTCCCTTCTACACACCAGGCACTGTAATAAGCTGTTTTATACATCTTGTCTCATTTCAACCTTACAGCCCATAAGGATAGATGTGCTGTGATATCAACTTTCTTACTCCCTTTTTGCAGAGAGGGACTTGGACTCAGAAAGGGCCAGAGGCTTGCCGGAAGTCCAACTGGCAAGCACCAGCACAGAAACAGAACCCACTCTTTTTATTACACAGTTCCGCTCTCGAATGGGATGGTACCTGAGAGGCCCTGGGCCACTTTAGAGGTGGGTCCCAAAAGGACCCCATAGAGGAGAGAGAGACAAGGACACTGAACAGGGTGGCTTTTCTATGTATAAGGGGCTGGGTTGCAGGATGGAGCTCAGCTTCCCTATCAAAGCTGCTGAGAAGGGAAAATATAATAAAGATAGCCCTGAGCCAGGGCTTCTGAGTGGGAACCAGTAAAAAAAAAAAAAAAAAAAAAAAAAAAAAAAAAAAAAAAAAAAAGCCAATTAGTCATACCTGCAGCTATGCTGTATTCCCATATGGTCTCTAACAACACATAACATCTTAAATGAGGTTTGGATTAAATGCAGCAGCATTAAACATGTCACAGCTTGTGGAGGAGAGCGCTCAGGCATTGGAGTTACATAAGCATGGGTCTGAACCCTGACTTTGCTTGTTACTAGCTGTGTGCCCTTAGGCAAGTCATATAACCTTTCAGCATCTATAACGTGTGGACAGTGATCCCTAACTCCTGGGGATCTTGTGAAGGTAGACTGAGGTAAGGAAGGCCAAGTCCTAACATGAGATAGGGCCCGTGGCCCTTAGTGGCTGGTGCAGGGGCGGTGGTGGTTGTGGTTTCTTGATCCACGGGGAGCCTGTCCCCTGAGCAGCCCCTCTGCCTTCTGCATCCACAGTGCTACAGGGCGTGGACAATTCGCTGGTGGGCCTGCACAACCAAAGCTTCGCCCGGGTCATGGAGCAGCGCCTGGCCCAGCTATTCATGATGTCCCAGCAGCAAGGCCGACGGTTTAAACGGGCCACTACCTTGGGAAGCTACACCGTGCAGGTGGGTGTGTATGTGTACTAAACCACTGGGGTCTTGTAATAAATGTACGGGAGTGTGCTGAGACTCAGTAAACCATGCTGTGTGCAGACGAGCGCCTGCCCTGCACACTGACTAGGCCACGTAATCAACACTACTCTTAGGTTTGGGGGGTTCATGGTCCTAAGCATCAAAGTCGTGGAGGAGGGTGAGAGTTAGCTACTCTCCTGTATTACTGCTAGACTGTAAGGTTTCAGAACAAATTCTGCACACGTGCACATATTTATCAGACACAAGTGATTAGTAAGCAAGCATAGACTTTCTACTCCCCAAACTGTTCTGGAGACTAGATGGAGTCCCAGAGCTCGGGACCTTCAGATCTCTTGCCACAACTCCTATGGATGGCAGATGCACCAATCAATATTCCAGCTGCAGGAGTCTGTTACCCTTCTTTAGTCAGTCTCAACAAACAGAGCCCTCCATGTTTATAATGGTCAGGTGACCACACGGGGATTCAGGCGAGAGAGCTGTAGCAGACACTATTGATGCATTGCCCAAATCCCCTTCCCATTTCTACTGAATGATACTGGGCTTCCAACAGCCACTGCTGAACCTTTATTGAAGGGCCATTCTTGAGATGCCAGAACCCACTTTGTCGATGCCATGGCTGGCTGGAAGTGCCTGGGAATTAACTAGCGGTGGGGGTGTGAATACAGCAACTCTCTTGCTTTGTGGCTATGAGAATTCTGAAATGTATGTTTTCAGTAATTGCCAGATATTTCCCATAGAATTAAGCTTTTTTAGCTGCCCACAGTGGTAACTAGATTAATAATGTACCTCTCGCTAGTTCCCTTCCACCCCCTGAATCACCTCTTCACCCTCCCGTCAGTTCCATGCACCTCCCAAATAATCCATCTACAAGGATTCAGCTCTTCTCAGTCTGCTTCAGAGGGAACTCTACAGACACAATGACCATCCCCAAGGTTAGAGGCTCCAAGCTTCTTTCTTGATTCTTTATTCAATTCGGGCAAGAGTGGGAACCATCTCTAGCATTCTAGCCAATCCGTGTATCTTGAATACCACTAATTTCACCAAAACTGGGAACCCATTGCTAACATTTGTTATGCTAATTAACAAAGCTCTGTTGAGCAAGATGTCAAAGTATAGAAGCACTCCTGGCGGCTGCCTCCGGAGTGTGGGCTTCCTAATTGGAATTGAGCAAACTGCCCCTAGAGTGTGAACTCGTGATTGGCAATTGCCACATCTAGGGTGTAACTTAATGCAAACACACATGCTTGATATTACCATGTCTAAGAGAGGAAGCGTTTTATAGAAAATTATAGGCATTACTCCAATCTGTCTGCACATTGTGTCCTCGGGAGTTTGAAAGTACAAACAACTCATTTTCTGGACCACACTTCCTTGCCTGAGACAAGCATCATCCCTTGAGGGAGATTCTAGGTCCTCCATTCACAGTTGGTGAATTTGGCCCCTTGTCCTCTTAGATGCTGCTTTCATTCTAAGTCTTTGTGGTCTGTGACAGCCTGTGACCAGGTAAAGTGATGGTTTATTTCTTGTGCCAGGTTTATGGTTTACCCTCTCTAGGGTCCATGTGAGCCCTATAATTCACACTTCTCCAAATAAGAGAGAGGAAGTCGTTGGGACTCAGACAGTGAAATGGGATTTGCCTCAGCTGAAGGGAGAGAAAGAACGACCATATAATCCTGGTGTTTTTTGTAAACCTAAGAAACCTAATCCATTCTACATGTATAAAACAGCCCACCAAGATATTCTTTCCTCGTTTCTTCTGTGTAGTCAATGTGATTGGCTCCATAGCTTCCTGGGAAGTCTGAGTGAAGTGAGTAGGGATTTGTTTCTGCAAATCCTAATTTATAGAGGTGGTAACATAACCCTTGGAGGAATCTTCGTAAGAAGAATTGAAATTGAAATTGAGTGAAGGTATTAAATATTTGAATGCGCATTCACCTTCTACCTGGAAGTACTAACACTGTCCTTACCTCCTCTCCTTTGAGGGACAGGAATGCCGTGGCCAAGTTTCCCAAATAAGATTTGCTCTTACATAGCTTACATCATCCTTCCACCCAGAGGCCTTTCTTCTGGGCTCAAATAATTTTAAAAGATGAGCCACCTTCATGAAGATGGAAACTTGTATGTCTGGAATTTAAAGATGTTCCTCTAGTGAATGTATCTGAAAAATTGAGTCTGAAGAAGAAATACATATGACCAATAAACAATTTTTAATGTTTAACTCCACTTGTCATCAAAATAATGCAAGTTTTAACTACAACAAGATATCGTTTTCACCTACCAAAGATTTATGATGGTACTATCCAGGGTTGGTGAGCATGAAGTGAAATGGGTACTTTCAAACACCGTAAGTGGGTATGACCTTTGTGGAGAACCAGTGAGCAATTTAGACAAGTACCTCTTGGATGGTCACAAACTTACTCCTGGAAATACGTTTTGAGGAGAATAGAGGTGAACACAAAGACCAGAAAGTGAGGGCAGTGTCTTTCAGAGAGCGTCCAGAAAAATGGTCCTATGAGGTGCCTTGGGGCAAAGAGGCTCTGTGGCCATATCAGTTTGGCAAGGATTCATCCTGTAGCCCCTTCTTGAAGATTCCCAAGGCCTGTTGGCATACCAAAGCCTCTAAAAAGACCTGTAGTAAAGAAATTCCTTAATTTTGGCCAACATACTAGTTTGGAAATTTAAATGCTGATAAGACCCTTGTTTTTAGTAATATATTTCTCCGACATTTTATTATGAACATTTTTAAGCCCACAGAAAGAAGTTTTATAGTGAACACCAACAAATTCACCATCTAGGTTCTAAAATTAACAGTGTGTATGTTACTATTTTATATTTGGTAACATATTCATTTCCATAGCACAGATCAGTTTGGTCTGTTCTAGAGCTTCATATAAATGGAAGTATATTCTCTTTTGTATAAAGCTTTTTTGACTCCATGTAGTGTTTTTTGGGTTCATCACGTTGTGTTATGCAGGAGCTTATTCCTTTTTATTGCTGAATAATATTCCCTTGTATGAATAGACTACAGTTTATTTAACCACTCTTCTGTTGATGGACACCCAGACTTTTTCCAGTTTTCAGCTACTTTAAACAAAGCTGCTATGCCCATTCTTCTACAAATCTTTCTGTAGCCATATATTTTCATTTCTCTTGAGTATGTGGGAGTGGAGTTGCTGGTTCATAGCATTGGTGTATGTTAGCTCTGTGACAAACTGCTAGACCTTTTCCCAAAGTTTACCATTTTACACTCCCACCATCCAGATGTAGAGTTCCAGTTACTCCACACCCTCATCAACACTTGGTTTTGTCAGCCCTTATTTCAGTCATTCTGCTGGGTGATAGCAGTGCCTTTTTTCTCCATTGAGCATTTTGTATATGCTTATTGGCTATTCAGATAGTATCTGGTCAGATTTTTTTAAACCCATTTTTTATTGGGCTGTAGTAATACCTATTTTTAATTGTTATGTATAGCATACGTACAAAGGAGTATAAAGACATGTAGACTTCAAAGAACACCAATAAAAAGAAATCACAACCCAAAGTAAATTACCCTCACCTTACCCCAGAAGCCTTTTATGTGTCTTCTCTGATTATACCTACTCCCTTCCTTTCTATCAGAGTTGAGTGTGCTTCTGAATTTTGTTTTAAGTCATGCCTAAATTTTCTGTATAGATTTTACCATCCATGTGTGTATGTATCCCTAAAGAGTACATCATTTGGTTTTGCCTGTTTTTGAATTTTATATTCAGTGATTTGTTTCTTATCAGGCTTTTTTATTCACCCATATTGATACAGATAGACATAGTTTATTTATACTACTCTATAATATTTCATTGTGTGACTATACCATTAACTCATTAATCCATCCTACTGTTAGTGACTTTTGAATTTTCACAGTTTTTGCTCTTGTGACCAATATTGCTGTAAACATTTCTGCCATACCTTTTAATATCCTATAAAGCTCATAATCTGTAATATACACTTTGGAAAATACTATACTATAATGTTTATCAGTTGTTAATTATAGTAGTGAAAACTTGATAACAAAGTAACCATTCAAAAATGAAGTGTTTGTTGAGTTTATGAGGCCTGCATAGGACAACATTACGTATAAAAATTTATGTTTTGTGTATTTATAATAACAATCAATTAGCTACAGTACTGAAAAATGAGTAACAATTTGTTTAACAATAAGTGATTTGCTAAATAAGTTTATGAGGTGTGCATCAGAATGCTGTGTAGAAATTGCCATTTATGCTTTTGTTATATTTAAGGTCATTTAAGGATGTAAGTAAAAATAGCAGTGTATGATTCTAGATAGAGAGTGTGATAAATAGCTTTGTAAAATACTAAATAAAAGGTTTGTGTGGAAAACCAGCAATGAACAGAAGCAAATGCTCCACGATAATAGTAATTAGCTTGTGGTAGAGGGATTGGAAATTGTTTTTATTTTATTTCATTTCTTGATGGCTTTCTGTATTCTCACACTTTCTGTAGTGAATATGTATAACTTGTCCAGGGAGAAAAAGCAACAAAGGTTATTTTAGAAAAAAGAACTTTGAGTCTCCAAGTACTGCTTTTATCAGAGATCTTTTGAATTGCAGACATATAAGTTCATTTTTTTTTTCCCTCTCTGGCAATTGCAGGAGTTTGAAATTAGAAATCTTGTTTGAGAATAACCTAACATGCCCTGAATTAATGTGCAGGCCTATTTTCAAATGAGGCCAGAGTTCTCTGGAGGCTGGAAGACATCACCATTTCAGCGTTTCTTCTCCAGTCTCAAGCTGTTCTTTCCAGATGTTCATATTTTCAGAACCTTTTTCTCCTCCCTGTCTCCCTTTCCAGCAATAGCAGCGCTTCTTGGGATGCTGGTGATGGGGAGGTACACAAAGGTTGAGCTCTAAAAAATACGTTGTGGGTCCAATTAGGCACCGAAGGCTTCAGCAATCAGGAGAGAGCCTGCTGATCGCCCAGGTGATTGCAGGGTCGGTACAAGATGCCCTGTAAACATGGCCTCTCTTTTTCCGAAAGATGGTAAAGATGCAACGGGTGCCGGGACCCAAGGACCCGGCGGAGCTGACTTACTACACCCTGTACAACGGGAAGCCATTGCTGGGGACCGCAGCTGCCAAGATCCTGAGCACCATTGACTCCCAAAGGATGGCCTTGACCCTGCATCATGTTGTCCTTCTGCAAGCTGACCGTAAGGGGATAGTCTTTCCATTCATTATTTTTTAATGCCATTAAATGTTTCCTGCAAATTAAAGTGATTCCCCAAACTCACGTTAATGGACCCAGACCTAAACATATTTTGTATTCTAGAAGGTTCTTTTAAATCAGTCAGCTATTTCCTGTGTTGTTTGAAGCAGTAGGTTTTGGGTAAGGGATATGTTTTGGATACTAGGATGATGATAATGATATTGCTTTGTCCCTAGTCCTACCCACTCTTCCTCCTCACCATAGTCCTGTGCACAGCTAGAAAAATCACCACGGCTGAGATTATATTGTCTTCTGGGGAATTAAAGATAATTTGATTCAATAAGCATTTATAGAGTCCTGCATGAACTGTTCTCGGTGCTGGCGGACATACAGAAGTGGTTAGACCTGGTCACTGCCTTTAAGGAGCAGAGAAGGCGGGGCGCCTGGGTGGCGCAGTCGGTTAAGCGTCCGACTTCAGCCAGGTCACGATCTCGCGGTCCGGGAGTTCGAGCCCCGCGTCAGGCTCCGGGCTGATGGCTCAGAGCCTGGAGCCTGTTTCCGATTCTGTGTCTCCCTCTCTCTCTGCCCCTCCCCCGTTCATGCTCTGTCTCTCTCTGTCCCAAAAATAAATAAATGTTGAAAAAAAAAATTAAAAAAAAAAAAAAAAAGGAGCAGAGAAGGAATTAATGAGGATATAAAGGAGCAGAAAGCGGGTAAGTGCAGTGAGGAGGCAGAATGATCCAGTGCTCAGCAGAGGGAGAGTTTGCTCTGAAGGGCCATCAAGAAAGAAAGAACACAGAAAAGGTATTAAAAACAATAGTTGCCTCCTCTGTGGCAGGTACTATGTTTGTTGCCTTACATGGATTTTCTCACTTTCTCCTCTCTTTGGAGCATCTTTATTCAGCTCCAAATTCCAGATGAGGAAACCTAGGCTCAGGAAAGTTAACTAACTTGCTCAATATCACAGAACTGGTACTTGGATCACCAGGATTTGAATCTGGATCTATCTGACTTCAAGTATCTGTTCTCAACTGTATCACATGCTAAGATTTCAGCAGGAGGAGAGGAAAGGTATATATTCCAGAAAGAGGGAGAAACACGAGAAAAGGAAGGGAGGCAAAAAGTGCCAGACATGCTTGAAAGACAAGGGGTTTGAGTTGCCTGGAGAGCAGACACGTAAGGAAGAGTTGATGAGCTCAGAAAGGGTTTTGCTTGGGAGACTGGGGCCTTGGATGGTGGGAGAAGTAGATCATACATAATACAGTAGGCTGTGGGGAGCTACTGAAGACTTCTATATGCGGGAGTAGTGTCATTAGAACTACCCAGTATTTAGGGAGGATAACCTGTCAGCAGTGTCCAGGATAAGAGCAGCAGGACTAGTGAGGAGGCTTTGCAGTGGCCCCGGCGTTGGGGACCCAAACCAGGTCTGTAAAGAAAATGAGGATGGGGGCGGTGATGAAGATAAGAGATCATGTGGTAGACATTTTAGATTTGGTAGCCCGCTGAGCATCAGGGGATGGAAGGTCATCTCCCATTGATTTCCTAGTTGGTGTCCATGCTCCTTAAGAACCCGATGCCTTGGGGCGCCTGGGTGGCGCAGTCAGTTAAGCGTCCGACTTCAGCCAGGTCACGATCTCGCGGTCCGTGAGTTCGAGCCCCGCGTCGGGCTCTGGGCTGATGGCTCGGAGCCTGTTTCCGATTCTGTGTCTCCCTCTCTCTCTGCCCCTCCCCCGTTCATGCTCTGTGTCCCTCTGTCCCAAAAAAAAATAAATAAACGTTGAAAAAAAAATTAAAAAAAAAAAAGAACCCGATGCCTGGTTCATGGTTTTCCTCTTCTGCTCATCTCTTGCCTTCCATCTGTTCTGAGTGTGGCTTCCACGTTGATGCAGATTCACTCCTCCTTGGCCAACAGATTCTCACAGACACACCTTTGCCTAGAAACCATAGTCATCCTGTGCAATCTTGTCTTTGAAATGATATTTTAAAGCCAGATTCTCGTCTTTTGTTCCTCTCTGCTTCCCTCCCTGTGGGCTCTGTCCCCATCTCTGGTCAGGTCAGCTACTTGCTCCGTTGGTTTTGCTGCATCCTCTTTATGTGAGTCCCCCAGGTTTCCATTCTCATCTCTTTCCCCCTCTCCAGGTAGAGAATAAATTATAGAGGAAGGAGTGAAAAGCATGGCAGGTGCCCAGGCGAGAGGTGAAGGTGGTAGGGGTAGAGGTAGAGACCAGACAAGTGTATGGATTTGGCATATTTTGAGGGACAGAGTTGATAGGGCAAGATAATGGATTCTATGTGTGGCAGGAGGAGGTGAGGGTCAGAGGAATCAAGGGTGACTCCTACGTGTTTGCTTGAGTGCTGGTTGTAGTGTCATTTGTTGAGATGCAGAAGATGCAGGAAAGAAAGAGGTTTACTGGGGCTAGAGCAAGAGTGGGGAGGTGGAATTGAGAGTTTGGTTGGGACATGTTAGGTTTGAGATATCTAAAAGACATCTATGCAGAGCTCAGAAGCTAGGACCCCAGATTCATCAACACAGGTGACGGAACTAAGGGAGCAGGTGAAATTAACCAGATTAGCCATGAGTATAGCTGGGTAATCCACATGAGGAAAGAGCTGGGGCCAGCAAAGGACACTGAGAAGGAGTGGCCAGGAAGATGGGAGGAAGCCCAGGAGAGTGGGGTCCAGAAATAAGCAAAGAAAGGAATGTACTGGAAGGAAGTGAGCTGCTGTGTCAACTTCTGCTGTGCTATAAGGGCAGAGATTAACTGGATTTGGTAAGGTAGAGATTGTTGGTGACTTTGGTAGGAGTGGTTTCCAGGCAGAGTTGGTGCCGATGCTTAGCTAGCATGGATTGAGGGGAGGATGGGGCTGGGGAAGTAGTGACAGCAAAGGGGAGAAATTAATGGTGCAGTTACTGGAGAGGCACATGGGAGATACTGGGGCACAGCTGAATATTGATGTGTTACTGTAATAGGGAGAAATAGACAATGCAGAAGAGAGAGACACAAACTGTCTTGGAGTGAAGTCCTTAAGTGGACAAGTCCTTAAGTGGACAAGGAGGAGCAGGGGCAGCTCATCCTTTTGCACTGGGAGGTTAAGCAGAGTCCAGGGGTGTGGGTGCTGGTCAGGTAGCCATTCAGTAATGGAAGCCTGAGGACGTTTTCTGTGATTGTTTCTGCTCTCTTGGGACAGAATGAGGTGAGGTTGGCAGGTGAGGCTGAGGTTGTGTGGGGGGTGTTTGAGCAAGGGTGCAACAGTATCCACTGAGAATCTGCCAACTGATTAGAGAAATGCCTTAAGATTGGCACGTCTTCCCTCCTCAGGCTTCACTGCTGTGTGCAAACCATTTCTTCTAGTCTCTCAAAATCCCGATCCTTCGAAGCTGCCTCCCCCTCCCTGCAGTCTCCTCCAAACGCCCTGCTGTCCCCCATAATTCACTGGAGACTTAAACCCAATCCATTGTCTCTTCCTCTCCATCGCCTCTCCTGTCCCCAATCCATCCTCAGTGCTAACCATTTGGTTCTTTGACCTCCTCACTTCTAATACAGGCCTTGTGGTACTTGGGAAGGGGCAGGAAAGGGGAGCTGGCTTTATTTACAGCAAAAAAGTGAATGGAGCATCGGGAGGAAGGGTTGAGGCTCTGGGGGCTTTGCCAATGGTGGTTGATGGGAAACAGTGGAAAGCAGGAGAGACAGATTGTATCAGACTAGAAGGTGCATAGAGCTTTCTGGAAATGAGAGTTGGGAGGCGACTATGCCTGCCTGCAAAGCGGCTGTCCCTCAATGGCACTTCTCTGTTGCCTTCACGGCCACTTGGTCCTCTCCATTCCTGTCTAATAACTCACAAATAAATGTGTGTCCTTTTCTCCATTTCACTGTTATCTCTTCTTGGGCTTTGCTGGTTCTTTCCAAATGACTCAACCTCAGACACTCTGCTATTAATGTCCTGTCCGTACTGTAATTAGGGTTATCCTAATATACAGATTCTGATCTCACATCTACTCCATTAAAAAAAAAAAAAAAAAAAAAAAAAAAAAAAAAAACGGTGGCTCTCCATTGTTCACAGAATAAAATCTGAACTTCTCAAAGTGGATCTTCCGAGCCCTTCACAACAGGTACTTAACAAATGTTCAGGTCTCTTCACAACCTGCTCTCCGGGCTACTCTTCCAATCATACTGCCCATTTTGCTCTCCTTCCTATTTCATGCTTCAGCCATACAGGAGGATTCATTCTTCACATTCCCTGGTCCTCTGAAGCCATCCCTGACCCCATCTCCCTTAGTGCCAGACGCTTCCACTGCCTTTATCACATGGGACCAATGAGTTGTTTTTGCTCTCTGTCCCTCATAAACTCCCTGAAAGCAGGTACCACATCTCATTCATCTTTGAATATCCAGCTCCAGCTACTGCCTGGCTCTGTTCTTGTGAGAGCGAAGGACTGACCTTTGCTAAATGTCTCTGCCAGGCCCTGGGCGAGGCATGTGGTTGAAGACACCATAGGTGAGCACTTGAGAGCAGAGTCTTTGCAACATGGCAGGCCTGGATTCATGCCCCAGCTCTTCCACTGTCTGACTTTGGAGCTCCAGGAAAAAAAAAAAAAAAAAAAAAAAGACCCTCTCTAACCTTCATTTTCCTCGTCTGTAAAATGAGAATATAAAAAAGCCCTGACCTCACAGAGCTACTTGGAGGGTGAAACAAGATAAGTATTGCATGTAAGGGGCTTTGTACACTCCTGGGGCACCTACTGAGTGCTTCGTAAATGATCCACTGAATGTCTTATAAGTCATCTATAAGGTAGAAGGACTGAAGGGAAGAGAGACTGAAGAAGGAAAGGTGACTTGAAGATTAGGAACCCCTGTAATTCAGAGAAAAGTGTGCTAGTGATGAAAATAGGAAGGGGATTGGAGGGGAAAGCATTTCTGGAAGGGAGAAGGTAATTGATTCACTTTGGGCCATGTTGAGGTTAAAGTGATGAGATATTAAGGGCCGCTATTCAGATACTGAGGAG